CAATAAATTTAACCCGCCATAAATTATTTAGGAGCAGCCCGTGGTGTAAATCAAAAACACGAGTGTTTGTTTAAGAAATAAGCTCCTTGTGCATAAAATGACTTTTTCTTTGGGGGGGGAGAGGAAGCATCCCTGAACAGAATGAGCTAAGGCTCTGCCCCTCCACAAATACTCCCTTGCCTCTTCTGCCCTCACCTTTTTTTGAAGGTGTAAACGGTTCTTTCAGTAAGAAGTTTTATGCTTTTCCTTATCAGACAAAATCCGTTTCTCTCAACAGCCTCTGCTTGTTTTTATTGCATTTTGAACAGTCAGCTCTGATTTTTATGGGCATCTTTTATTCCTGTGTTTATTAAACTTCTTCACATGGGGGTTAGAGTAAGGGATAAATTATTCTCTTGTAGTTTTTGAACTGAATAGGCCATACAGTCTTCCTCAAATACGTAACCCGGTGTCCTGAAGAGTGGCCTGGTCACTTTATACATAGGCTTCTGTATTAAAAGGTTTTGAGAGCTGGGAAGCTCTTGCTGGGGACTTTATTCTTTCTGTCTAATGATATGAGTGCTATCCAGATCCAAAAGGATAAACAAAAAGATTCCTCTGTGGGAATTAGTGTAATTTCAGGTTCTTTTTTCTCTGACAGGAAATTGTTTAGCAAGTGTAGTTTTGCTCTTGTTCAATTCTTTTATTAGCAAGAAGATCAAGAAGGCTGAATTGGTGCATCCGTGCTCTGGTGTCAAAGGGAGGGGAGTTTCATTTAGGACGATTGGGTAAGGAAAGGTTGGGTTTATAGCAGTGCTTCCACATGCCCTTATGAATTTTTCAAATCCCTCTTCAAGGAAAGTCCCTAGCCATTCCACAGTTACCCTGCAGCCTCCTGCTGCTGCTCAGCCCACTGGTAAGGGTACACGAGAGGCTTTCACCTGGAACCTTTGTTTTTGTTTTCAGGAAAGGCAAAAATTCTGAAGGAAACTGTCACATAGATTTGCTTGAAGGACCATGAAATCGTAAATGCAAGATTGTTGCAAAGAGAGTGGACCTGGTAATGGATATGTATAAGCCTCCAGCTCTGTAGGTTCCTATTGTTACCGTGTTTGGGGGCACAGCTGAGGGGAGGGACAGGGTGCCGATGTCTTTTTCTTTAAGCGTGTTAATATTGATTTTAGAAGCTCTGTGTTCCAACAATATAAATGCAAATGCCTGTAATTGGGAGCCTCGTGCAGAATTTCTCAATAGAAAACATGTTCAACTTTTCATGACAGTGAAAGGAAAATAAAAAGCCGCTTATTTATTGGTGGTGGTTTGAATCCTGGATTTCCTTTCAAGTTACTTTGCAGTGCTAAATAAAATACCTAATTGCAGTGCTCGCAAAATTCAAATGAGTACATTTGTTCTTCTGGTAGCTTGCGGCTATTTGCAGCCTCTGGACACCCTCAGCATTATTTTAGCACATCCATAACTTCTGGTTGTGCTGTAAGCTGGGGGGTGGGGTCGGGGGGGGAAGACTTAGAAGCCCCAAATGCTACTGGCACAAATCACTGCCGAAGTTAGGACATGAACTCAGTGTTGAAGTGGAGCTGGGTGAGGATCTCAAGGTAACACTTATGGATGATCAGATAAAAGAAAGGAAGTGTCAGAGAACCTCTCCTCTTAATGCCCTCGTGCCTCTTTTCCTCCACCTTTCCCTTCTGGGAGGAAGCAGTGAAGGTCCTTGAATGGTGGAGATGGAGCTGGGCATGTTGAGCTCACTGGGCTGCTGTGAAATGTGAGAGAGCACCCGGCTGCCTTCCTGCATCACAGTCTGCTGGGGGGTTGTGTGTGTGAGTGTCTAAGTGCTCAGCATTTCATAATAATTACTAATGAAATTCTAGATCTGTAATAACATTTCGGATATCTAAAACAAACCATATGCTTGTAAAAAAAAAAAAAAGAGAGGAAAAAAAGTGGAAACAGATCAACTTTAAGCCATAAATTCTTGGTAATAGAGGCCTCTTTTCTCCCCCCTTTCTGTTTATGTTTGATAGATATTTTTGTTTCTGCAGGAATGTCAACTCTTAATTTCATGATGTATCATGGGCTTAAGAAAATTGAATTTAATAAAGGCAAAAGATGAATGGCACCTTTAAAGGTCCCAACACTTGTCTTTATTAGCAGGACAAACTGCAGGGTCTCCAAACACTGCTTCTCTCCAAATGAAAGTTTAAATGAAAAGTACAGCAGTGTCACAGGTTAAATTTCATTGCAGGACTGGCTAACGTCGTTAGTGAGGAGTGGGGCTGATTTCATGGGGCTGGTATCTGTTGCCTTAGATACCAGTGGAGCAAACACTGCCAGAGACTGGAAAAATCTCCGCTATAGGAAGCGTGCAGATAAACAGCCTTTTGGGAAAGGTTCTTTACCACTTGCTTCCAAAACTGACCAAACAAGCCCAGAAAAGTGGCTGTGCTTTCTCCTAAGACGCTCAAGTTGCCTCAGGGGTTTCACCCCTACTCCTGGCCATGCACTTCCTAAAGACCTGCAGTAATTCTGGATATTGTTAAATTTTCCACACTTTTTTAGGGTGGCTTTTTATTTCCTCCGTCTGTCTTAATCCGACCCTCCTGGAAGTGCTTTTTGCCTTTGGTACTGGAAGGCGAGCGACGCCTTTGTGCATCAGATCAGCAGCAGGGCTGTCTTTCAGCCTCGCTTTGCATCCAGCCACTTGATGGCCCCTGAGGATGTTTCTGGTCCCTTAGGACCTATCCCGGCATTGCAGCGCAGCCCTGCTGTGAAATCCAGCCGGTGTGTGTCTCTCTCCAGAAGGGGGAATGCTCGTCTTGCCCTGCCGTGGGCTTGCCCGCTTCCATGGTCACCCGCTGGCTGGGATGCAGACCTGAGGGGCAGTGAGACGCCCCAGCCCGATTTGAAAGATGCCACAGTGTTATCCTGTCTGTTATGACAGCCTGTCCCTTAGCTTCAAGCTTTGCAGTCTGTTTTCCTTCTGAACAGGAATTTGCTGCTTTCAGAGCCTATCTGTGGTAGCCCTTTAGAGGGGAGTGATCAGCTGTGTCCAACATTTCTTACACTCTCGTGTTTCCAGGGTCCTCCTGGGTGGCTGAAGCTGGTGCATTTGGCTGCACCGCAGCAGGCAGTCTGGGTGATGCTCAAGTGTTTTGCACATGTCTTCTCTTCCCCTCCCAGCCTCTGAGTCGAGTTTCCTCTCTTTCCTGGGGAAACTTGGTGGCTCCCAGTGGGGTTGGTGCAGCTGTGGGGAAGGATGTGCCCAGCCATCTGCTCTGCCTTAGCCCACATGGTGCACGTGGAGTGTGGCACAGCTGACCGTGGGGAAACAGTTAAGCCCTGCATCCTCTGTGGTTCCACTGCTATGTGTCTACACCTGGGCACTTAACATTATTAACACTTTAATTTTTTTTTCCTAATTTTCTGTATCACAGCACACGTTCCCCACATGTCCTGGGCTGGGCTGTGTGCCTGTTGCGCCGGGGAAGCTGCTCTGCTGCGTCCACAGGCTCTGTCCACCACTGAAATTAGGTGTTTCTCCTGGCTATTTAAATTATCTGTTGCTTCCATTTACCCACCCAGCTTCTTGCCCTCCTGCTGCCTAGTGGGGTGCTGATGTCACCAGCTCATATGTATAACCTCATGATAATTTCCGCCTCCAGGTCATGAGGGTTGCAACCAGGGTCCAGAAAAGTGTGTTAGTTCCTCTGCAGCGGCTGCATTTTTCACATGCTAATTTTACTCACAGGAGTTGGATTTTTTTTTCATTTTTTATTATTTCTTATTTGTCTCTTCCAGATGTTTTCAGGCAGTTTTTTTTTTTGTTGTTAAACTAATTCCATTCATGTTTTAAAAATTTATGAAAGCGCTAATAAAAATGTCAAAGTGGTAAAAATGTTAGCTTTTGCTCTGCTTTGATTAAATTTTGCAAACTGTTTTTGAATATTAAAAAGCAATATTTTTTTTATTCTCTCTCCCTCTCTCTGTTTCTCTCCAGAAGTGATTTGAGAGGCTTGTTGCATGGATATCACTCAGCAGCCTCATTTGCACTCCAGAACCTTGGTGCCATGGATCTCTATTAAATAACATAGACAAATTATTCTTTAAAGACACCAAACAAATTGTCACTTCTCCTCTTACATTAAACTGGAAGGAAGAAAGGGAACGGAGAAGGAGGGGGGTGAACACAAAGGATTTTATCGCTTTTATTCAGTGGGCAGCTTTTTTAATTTCATGTATATTTTTTAATAATTGAGAAATCCATCGCAACTGGATTTGTTTAAACTTTTTATTAACAGGTCCATGTAAATTTTTGATTGCTGATTATTCAAATAATTGAACATTCTTCTGATGAAGGAACGTTTTTATTTCCCTATCAGCATAAATTGGCTACGAAGAGGAAAATGAAGCAGGGCTTGTTACTGTGCTGTATCCCATGGGAATCGATCTGGGGGTAGCTTCCAGCTCCTCAGTCTGTTGGAGGAGGACAGTGCTCCTCAGCCTCTCCAGAGGAGGAGATGCTTCATGTTGTAGTCCTTGTTGTCTGTGTGATGGTGTCCTCCAAAAGGATGGTGGGGTGGAAAGGATGGGACTGGTTTTGGGGAGGGCTCAGCCCCTGGGATGTCCTGGCTAAACAGACGTGAGCCCATTGCAGGTACATCTCTGTGTTCCCTGGGTAGCATGTGCGGGTTGTGTGAGACAATCTTCCTTAGGTTCAGCTTAGGCAGGGCTGGGTGCAGCTGCAGTGCTGGGCACGGAGACCTCCTTGCTGCTGTCCAGGCTGTGATGAGCATCAGCACCATCCTGCTCTGTGCCTGAGGTGCTGGATGTGCTCTGTGCTGCAGCACCACCTTCCCACTTTTGCAGAGCTTTGTGTTGGCCTTATTTTTGTTTGGGACTATCAGGCCCCTCTTTTTAAAACCACCTTGCTAAATAGGATCGTTTCTAGCTTCCTTTTTTGTTTCTTTTAAATGAACAGCTGCTTTTCTTTTTGCCCTATTCAGGAAATCATCGAATTCCCTATCCTGAAGCTGAATGGCAGGACGATGGAGATCGAATCCACCTTTCACATGTATGTTCAGCCTGTGGTGCATCCCCAGCTTACGCCCTTCTGTACAGAGGTAAAGTGCAAAGGTTCCCTGGTGCTCCAAGAGTCTCCCTGGGAAGCAGGTGTCCATTGCACCAGGGACTGGGGTCGCCTCTTCACGGTTCAGCTGCAGTGCAGTGTGTCATGCCAGGCTTGAGTTAAGGACAAGGGGAATAATTTTTTGTTATTGCAGTGGCGTGTAAAGACCTCACTTTGGATTCATAAATAACTCTAGCTGTGCTCTGCTAACTAATGTAGTTGTACTTACAATTAACAAACATCTAACTGAGTGACCCCAAAATAAAAGCTGATGTTCAAAATCTTGTAACCTCCCTGTGAGCTCTTGTGATTTTGCTGTGCTGCTCTGTGGTGGGGAAGGTCAAAGAGAGCATGATCTGAGGGAAGGAAGTGCTGTACGGTTGTGTAGTTCAGAGGCTCTAAATTAGACTCTCCTGTGGGCCTGCATGTTGGGGTTTGATGAGTCCTTCAGAGTGGAAGGATGTCTGTATTTTTAAGACTTTCTTTTTGATGTCGTGCTTGTGGGGTGCTTGAAATGATTGCTGGAGAAGTAGCCTCTTTTTCCTGGGTTATTCTCGCTGCTCAGTACAGCTGCTCTCAAGCTGAGGCCACCTTTTCCACAGACACAGAATGAAGGTGGGCAGTGCAATCCCTGAGGGTTCAAAGGAATTGCGGGGCAGGGGTTGGTTTGGGTTTTGTTGTTGTTTTTTTGTTTGTTTGTTTTTTCTTTCATTCAAGACAGAAAGTTGAATGTTTTCCCCAGTGTGTTCTTTCTTCTTGGTATAACCATCAAAACAAACTTTGAGTTCCTCTTGCTTTGGGCTTTTTTTCCTGCCCCTCCACTGGTTCAATGTTCGCCAGCTTGGTGATGAAAGTACTGAGTGTGGGAATCAGGGTATCCAGGTTCTTTGTTCTGTCCCTGCCTTGCCTAGGATCATAGCACCATTGTGTGTTTTCCCCTACCTCTCTGGCTGCAGGTTTAAGCCCTTGGAGTGCTTGTCCCACATGTACTAACCTGATGAAAAATGACTCCTCTGTTTTAGGTGGAGTCCCCTCCAGGACCAACCAGCCCCTTCCATATTTTCACATTGTAAAAACAAATACTTATTTTTATTCTCTTGTAACTAAAAACCATCTGAAGGTATTTTATTTAAACTTAAAAAAAAAAAAAAAAGACTAAGCACCGAAAACGTTATTCCCAGGAGAGGAGCTTTCAGAAAGCTATAAATGTGTGAGAACAGAGGGTTATAATGGAAACTGTTTTGCAACCTTAATGCTAGAAGGCTGGACAACTACTTTGGCTGTCCTTATTCCCATGAGACTTGCTGGACATATGCTTGTACAAATGTGATAAATCTCACAGCTTGAACCTGATGTGGGCTAAAAACAACGCCATCTCCTGAAAGAGTAGAACCCAAAATGTCCATTTTGCAAGTCCTCTAAATTCTAGAGAGAAGTTGTCTCATTAACTCCCACTAAAATTCCTTTTTCTGGAAATCCCTCTATTGCATCCTGTCCCCTGTTGCTAAAGACTGCAGCTCTGAGTCTGCATGACTTGTATGGTGTGTTTGTGTGAGCTGAATGGAGCCTCCAGCCTGCTGCAGACCGGGGACATTCAGAGGTTCTCTGGATGTTGAGCTGGTGACCAAGACATTCAGCTCATCTAATGCTCCCACACCACAGTGTTCTCCATCTTCTCTTGCTCGTGGGAGTCTGCAGCAGCTGTTTGTGTCTCTGCAGGTTTGTGTCTCCTGTGTGGAACCCTAAAGCAGGCACAGCTCTCTGTGTGTGTGTGTGATGGCCTGTGTTTGCAGGAGTCCCCAGGATGGGCAGGGGTGTCCCAGCTCAGCTCTGTGCTGCAGACTCTGCTGCTGACCTTGGTCTGGCATCGTGTCCAGAGTTGGATGAAAACAGGCAGTGCTGATGCCAGCAGGCAGAATGGTTGCAGAACCCCCACCTGTGTGTGTCAGTGGTACAAAAAGGTCCCGCTTGCCAGGTTGGGCAAGTCCTTTGTTATTAACAGTGTGGGTTAGGGAGCTAGTTTTAATCCTAGCCTGGAATTCACAGGCTCCTGAGCGTCTTCCCACTGCACCCCTTGCTGCTTAGTGTCCAGCATGGCCCCTGTCCCTCCCAGCTTGGCAGTCCACTGGCCTGTTGCAGGGGCTGTGAAGAGGTCCAGGAGTGGGATCGTGTAACTGGGCTTTTCACTAAGCCCTGTATTTGGAGTTGAGTTTGAAGCCCTGCCCTGAAGGCCACAGGTTGTACTGATGAGACCTTACTAAACAGTGGGGTCGGTGGCTGCTGCTGGGCAGGTGTAGGGGTCAGCCCTGTGCCACTGGTGTAGGTTCCCTTGAGACCCCATGGACACAGCCAGGATGTGCTGCTGTGGAGCTGCTGCCTGAACAGCTCCAGCACTTGCCATTGACTTTCTGCTGGTTTATGTTTTCTGAAAAATACTCATTTTGCTAAATGCCAGTAAAGGGCTTTGTCTAGGCACCTCTACTTACAAAGGGTGAGATTTATTGGCCTCTTTGTCTACAAAGAAACACCAGGCCTGATTATCAGATTGTACACCAGAGACAAGTGCTTAGGTAATCAGCAAACTGTCTTGGAGTAGAAATACGATGGTTTCCCAGATAAACTCTCTAGGAAAAGCAGTGCTGTTAACATCACACGGGAGCCTGTCTGCCGTGCTGCTGATTCCCCCTCTCCCCTCTGCTTGCTGCCTTTCCTGGGAAGCAGTAGAGCTGCTTAGTATAGACTCTGTGTGGGAGGGTTTCTGGAGTTGCTTGACAGACCCAAGTACTCCTTGGGTCTGGAGTGCTTCTCCCATCCCTCTTCCTCCTTGAAGAGGACAGCACAGCATGGGAAGGGTGCCCGGAAGGGTGGAGAACTTGTGGTCACCCTCAAGGCATCCCTTTGCTTTTAGTGTGTCTATGCACTTCCTGGCTACAGGAGGTTTCTTCAACTCCCCACACAAATGGCCAGGAGCATTTCTTCCAGTACTGACTCACTCTGAGCCCTCATCTGGTTCCCTTTCTCCTAATCTGCTTCTGTAAAATGACACGTTGTGATTGGCTATGATGAGGGCTGGGTGTTACGATGAGTGTCTAGGCAGAGAAGGTGGAAAGTGCTTGCAGGTTGTTAAAAGCTGTTATTAGGTGTATAAAGCTCATCATGTCCTTTTGGAAGATGCAAGTGGTTTGTCTGGTGCCCAAGAAAGTTAATGCTGGGAGCTAAAGGAAAGGTTCTCTCTACACAGAAGCTGCTTGTACAGGCTTTTTCATGGTACTTTGCTCTTTTTATGATTAATTTTTATTGATTTTTTTTTCCCTGAAGGAATAGACAATAAAAATACAAAAAGATAAATGCCTTATAGCTTGTTTGTGTTCCCAAGTACTGTGTGCTTCTTGGGCTCACCAGTGAAACTTTACAATTGTGCAGTTTTATGTTTTTATACTTCTTCAAAGCTGCAAGACCAGATAATGCTGCAGAGATCCAATGCACTAGGTTGGGTGTGACAGGTGGACGTGACTGATAAGAGAAAGAATCAGAAAGGGTGAGAGAATATAAATCTGGTCCCATTTGAGCACCCTCTGACTTGTATTGAAATGTACCCATGGAGCAGGTATATCCCTTTCTATTCATGTGTATGATTTCTGCAGCACAAATCTTGTGTGTGTGTGTGTGAGTGTGTTGGGCAGTGTGTTCTTGTAACAGATAAGTTGGTACTTTCAACCTCATAATGGCTTGATGAACTTGAGAAACCCACGTAGAAAAGCTCTGCATTCTTAAAATACTTTCCCTAAAAGGTATATATTACCATTCTATGGAAGTCACTATGAGAAAATAATCTTTTTACGTACAGCTTATTCAGTGAGTCAGGTATTTGGTATTCATTAAGTGTAATTGCAGTTTAATTGGAGTTTAATATCTTTTCTTTTTCCATCCTCCGAGTTCAATGCTGTAAGCCAAGCAGCCAAAGAAACTGAGAGGTAAAAACCATTTAGCTTCCTTCAGTTGCCCCATATTTAATAAAGCCAAGCCCTGTGGTTTGTGAGAGGGCTTATTTTTATGAGTAGGTTGAGCTGGTCTGCATGGGAGAGTTACTCCTGGGTGGTGGTGAGGCTTTCAGCACCTCTCGACTGGGTGCTATGGTTTCTGGAGCCCTGGATGCGTGTGCAAGCAGCAGGGCACGCTCCTGGGTTGTGTTTGACCTTATTTTATGAAAATGTGTGAGGTGTGTAGCTTCAGGAAAGTGCCATATGAAGTGAAATCCCATAGTGTGCACTTGTTTTAATAATGGTTTTTTTAATTACTTGGATGCATCGATGGCAAGCTACTGACGTCCGATATTCAATATGTTAAAAGACAGTTTTGTCACTTGGAAGGCAGACAGAAAAATTATCTCTTTTCCATGTGCCTCGAGCCCTTCTGGGCAGACACAGGCAGAGGCCCATGAGACTTCATCTTTTTATGTCTGTGTCTTAGCTTTAAACAGCCAAGCAGTCCAGGAGCAGTCAGTAGGACTGTCTGTTAGCAGGATCTGTTCCTAAGGAACCTCCTGAAAAACAGAGTGGACAGGGTTCTGGAAGAAAGTGCTTTTCTTCAGGTTTCATTCCATTGTTCCAAGTGCAATTTTGAGATGCAGAGGAATGATGTGATGGACTATGGGAAAAAACTCGTGCTGGCTGCCCAGCACAGGGGGGGATGACTGGGTCCACTCTGGGTCTTGCCTACCAACAGTCGTCTCTTCAGTTCATCTCACACTGAAATTTTGGTGTAACTGCAATAGCAGGGGAATGACCAGAGACCTTGGCAGTTACTGCTTCCCGTGTACATCAAGGCAACACCAAAACTGGCAAAATGCATGTTGAGAAGGGCATCATGCTTATGCATGACACTGCTCCCCAGGTGGATCCTGTGCTGCTGAGAGTCTACTGTTTTGTGGTGTGGGTAGGAGCCCCGCTACATTTCTGTGTTTAGGATGAAGCTGTGCCCTTGCCTGTGGCTGGGGAGCTGCCAGGGTCACTCTGCTGTGGCTGGCTCCTCAGGAGCATCCATGTGGGTCACAGGAGCATGTTTTGGTTGCAGAGAGATGGACAGGAGAGTAGACCTTTCTAATGATCTTTTGAGTGCTGCTCTGATGCCTGCTTTCTGTTTGTCTCTCGTTTCAGCTGACTGGGATTATTCAAGGCATGGTGGATGGGCAGCCAAGCCTCCAGCAAGTGCTTGAGGTAAGCAGAGTAACCTTTAGTTCTCGAACTCTGACCTCTGGTCCTGTCGTCCCCTCTTCATCTCTTTCCCTGCACCCTCCCCTTGCTGAGAATCGAACCGCGTAATTTGACTATGATTACAGCTTCATTAGAATAACATTTGCTGTCACATTGGTGACACGCTGCTGAGAGTATTGAACCATTGATCTGTCATCTCCAGCTGTTCATGTCAAGGGTGCTGACAAGATATCCAAACTCCTGCCAGTAGATAGGAGAAGAGGCGATTCTTTCTTGAGCCAGTTTTAAAGCACCAAGACATTGCTCGAGACCACTGCTCCTGGAGCTTCTGCCTTCGTTTCTTTTCCCCTTCCCCAGCACTTTATTAAATTAATTTTTCTACCTATTTAAATGCTCAATAATACATGTATTATAGAAAGAAAATGCCTCTAAAATCTAATCTGGAGGATGTTCGAATGCAGAGATAGCCCTAATAATGCCATCTGCTTAATGTTGAATTCCTAGAGCATTTAAGGCTTAATTAGCTTGGAAGTATTTCTCCATCAATAGCTTTTGTTGGTAGTCAGATAGTAAAGGAAACCTCCTCAAGCAGAGCCCACTTGGGCTGCAGGTTGGTGTTCAATGCATTGTCTCTGTCAGGATTTCCACTGCTGCGTTACCTAATTGTTCCTAATCAGAGTAATTGCACCAATTGCTTATCTGAGGAAATCAAATTAAAGGCTTTAAAATCCTCCATGGAGACAGCACTTCATGGGCGCTCACATCAGGGAGCGTAGAAGGGTTCCTGCTGCCGTCCCCAACCTCGGGCAGCCTCGTGGGAGGCTGGCTGGAAGATCCTGTCAGCCCCAGGGAGGCAGGAGTGTGCCTGAGAGGCTTGGATGCTGCTTTCAGGGGGAGCTTTACTCAGAGGGCTGTTGTACGATCGGTCACAGGAAGAAGCATCGACCCCTGCCAGGGAAGGCGGCGGCAATGACACGAGACCGAGGACGGTGCTCTGCAAAGGTGACATCTTGCATCCATGCAAACCCCCAGCTCTCCCTGTGCTCTCCTGAGAGCACGCTGCAGTGTCCATAGGCGTATGGATGCCTGTGCCTGCTTCCCCAGGAGGGAGAGCCCTCTTTGCTGGGATGGGTCAATGTAGATCGCTACTGGAGTATTCCAGAAAATGGTTTCGTTCTGTTTCTATGGAAGCTTCTTACAGTGTGGAAACACTTAGTTACAATTTTTTTTTTTTTTTTAATTTGGACCGAAAAGGTGTTCCTACAGCAGTGTATTTCTAGCTTAAAATGAGATTCAGGTCAGGCAGCTTCTGGGGCATGCTGGTTTATTCAGGAGTGAAAGGTGTCAGGTGAGGGAAAAGAGGACGGATTTTTCTTGCTGAAGCTTTGGAAATGGTACTAGTGAGGCTGTATAATAGCAGCTGATTGCCTGCCACCACAGGATTTTAGGCATGTCATCTGCTAGTTTTAGCTGGACTAAATGCCCATGCAGGGGTTTTAGTCTAGGTTAGTTCCTTCTGCTTAGTTCCCAAGGTGGATTGCATCCTCCAGATTAACATGACCTATTTCTGAAGAGGATCCAGAAGCTCTGTTCCAATGGGAAGTTGATCAGGAACAGTGGATTCACTTTAAATCCGCGCTACCCTGAACAAGCATCTCCTCAGACCTGTAAGGAGGAAAGAGGGTTCCAGACTGGACAGGAAGGAAACATGCTTGTTACTACCACACAGTGCCTGTGTGTGCCCAGTCTTTCCATTTTTCCCCTTTTCCCATATCCCCTTGGAGCTGTATGAGTCAGAGTATGTGAAAAATGCTGTGGGGGAGGGATGCCATCTCAGGATACTTGTGTATTTGTCCTCAGTGGAGGGGACACAAGTTAATGCTCACTGGGAGCCCTTTTGGTACAGGGAGAGGAGAAGTGGAGGAGAAATGCCAGGTAACAGCGCAGTTGTATCATCCCGTTAACGCTGCACAACTTCCATCCCTCCGTGAGCAGAGCTGCTGCGGTGTCTGATAAGATCATCTCTGCTCTGGTTGCCTGATGTCTCCTATCAGAAATCTTCAAAGGTCCAAACGTGCTGTTGTTGAGATGGCAAGCAAAGAGAGAAGAGAGAGAGGGAGAGGGTGGATAAGATCACAATTTTCTTCTCTCTTGATTGCAAGCAGCTTATCTGAGTTTAACTGTTGTGGCTCGGCCTGTCTCCGCAAAACTCATCCCCTTTTCTTGCCTTCCTTTCAGAGGGTTGACGAGTGGATGGCAAAGGAAGGCCTCTTAGATCCCAGCGTCAAGTCGATTTTTGTGACCTGTGGAGACTGGGATTTGAAAGTGATGTGAGTATGGAAGGGGAGGGAGATTTTTCTGGGCTTTATTGCTCCATGCTTGCCTGCAGCACCTGTGTCTTTGTCCTTGCAAGCCTGCAACTGTCCCTAGTCATTGTTTCTTAGGGAAATTGTTGTTTGCTGTGCATAACTGGCAGTGGAGAGTTGTTTCAGAAGATGGGTACTGGGCATAGTGCAAGATCACTGCCTAGGTTATTCCCTGTAGTGAGTGAATCTTTTCAGAACCCCAAGAAAGGTTTAGACTGGAGTTTTGTGATGCTTTCCTTTTTATCCCATATACTTTCCAAAGGGGTGGATATTTCTGAGTGCATACATGGAATGCTGGTTTTGTACACCCAAATCAAGTGATGGTCCTTACCTGACGCATGCAAGGCTTCCTCTCTGTCATCTTGGCACAGTAACTTGATATGAATCACAGAGTAGTCTTTGGGACAGAATACAAAATGGATCTGGCATGATTCATTGGTGTTCTTATTGTTAAGGTCATCTTCACCAGCTGGGTGACTGTATCTGGTGGGGACCTGCACTGGGATCTGCAAGTGTTGGTGTATGTGCATGTTTTGTCAGGAAAATCGCTAGACCACCAACCTAAAAATGCTATTATAAGAACAGAGTTAAGTGTCTAAAAATTACATTACTTTAATCTGTAAAGTGTTTGCAGATCAGTGTCATATTGTGCCGAATTCCCTTGGATTCCTATAATCTTGCTTCAGCTTTTCATTTCCCCGCAGTGCTGGGTAAAGACTGCTGTTGTTATCACACCAGTAAAGTATGGGCTTGACACATCCAGTGCTAAACTGACAGCCACAACTCGTTAGGAATATGACTTGGTTTCCACTGTGACATTGGCTTCCCCAAGTTGGAAGCCTGAACAAACCGCACACAGCCCAGGAGCAATCAGCCCCAGTTCTTCCCTGCAGAGTGGTCTTTGTAGAGTGGCAGCTCCTTGTCTTTTCTTGGTGTGATTAGTGAGACATGGGATGGGAGGACCAAAGCTCAGCTAGTGCAGATGCGAAATTGGCCATGCTCCAGTCAGGGGGTGGTATGTGAGCTTTTGAGTCAAAGTCTGGCTCTCTGCTCAGGCTGTGTCCAGAGCTGGTATATATTGCAGGTTCCTGTGTTAGCTGCTTAAATGAAGAGTGAGGCTTATCTTTCTTTAATATATAATGTTTAAACTTCTGTTAGAGACCAGCACAAACAGCTGCTGTGCTAAACCTCAGTTTCTCATCTATTCTGTTTTCTCTGTTCTTTACTCCTGTATTGCTGTTCTGAGAGCCCGGTTTACCACTTTTGGGGATGGTTGTAAGAAACAGTTATCTTTGCTTCAAGCCCATCTTTCCATCGCCTTCACAGTGGGCTGACAAGGTTACCAGGTAATGACATCCTGACTTGGCATCTGTATGGAGTGAGCAACCTGGATATGTTGGGTGGCTTTTCTTTTCCCTTCAGGGCTCTACCATGGGCAAATAGAGGTAAAGATGAGTCCCATTTCTGGTGAGCTGTAGGAGTTGTGGGGTGAGCTGGCTCAGCAGGACATGCAGTTCAGGAGCAGAGATACACAACTTCACCATTTGCAGTGGTCTCTCGCATGGCTTGTCCCTCACTAGTCATCTGGAAAAGAAGACTCCACTTCTGGCCATGAGGTTGTAAGCGAGTGGTTCATTTCTCCCGCTCCCTTTTAAAAAATTTTTTTAAACCATTAACTTCAGAATTCAATCCTGAAGCATCTCCAGGGCAAAGCAGAAAATACATTTCGTGTCTCCAGCCACATGGGTAGCAGGAGTCTGGCTGCAGCTGCTTGGTGAGTAGCACATCACGCCGCTCCGTCGCCGATTGGGTGCTGCAGCGTGTAGCGTCACATCTGATTAGCTCTGTGCCAGTGGATGAGGCTCGAGTGAGGACTCCCTGCCAGCTCTGACTTGTCTCATTTCCCGTTACTTTTATCCGTCACCACAAATGCCGAGTCTCCCTCCTGAACTAATTAAGTTTGCGTGTGTTTAGACACATTGCCAAATAGGGTTTAGCAAAGCAGAACTGAGCATCTCTTTTTAAAAAGAGAGAAAGCAGAGAGCTGAAACAAGGCTGCTCAGACAGGGAGATAGAGCCTCAGAGGTGTGGAACATCCAGGAGGTATTCCAGAGAATCGCCCCATGCTTCCCTACAAGGCTTGTGGTGTAGGTGGTGCCCTTTGCTACTGGGCTGAGACCACATGCTGGGCACAGAAGGCACTGGGGCAGTAGGAGGGGAGGTGGTGCTGCTTGTCCACATTTGGAGGAGTGTGTTGGTGAAAGCATTGTGTGGTAGAAACCCGACTGGGTTCCAGAGGAACTCAGGACAATGAGGTGAGTGCAGCGCTTCCTGGCTTAAGGAGCCACCACTTGTGGCAGGTCTGCTCCTAACTATGCTCTTTCCTTTCTCAACTTCCTTAGTAATGACAGCTACTTGCATAGTACCTGCAGAGCAAGTTGCAGTCCTCTTACTTGTGTCTTGAGTGGTGTGAAGTTCCTGTCCTCCACTGTCCTTAGCTTGGCTGGTAAATCACAAAGCCTTGTTCCAGCAATGACCTGGGCATTTAGCTTGACTCCTGTCTGCATGTGCTGTTGAAGAGTTGAGGCATGATGTCTTCTGGACTGGCCTGTCTGCTGTGAGGGCTTCCAGTAGGTGCCAGTGGTAGGTGCCAGGACACTGGAAGGCCCAGTGGGATGAGTAAGCTGGGTGCATGGAAGTGTGTGGAACAAAGAGGAGGAATCTACAAGCTGGTCAGTGGTGGATCCAGGCACAAGGTGGGGAAATAGCCCTGTCTAAGCCAGGAGTTGCAGTATGTTAAAGAAAAGCACCAGAGGAATAGTGACTGTCAAGGTATTGCTCTCTGCTGATGGTGTTCTGGCACTATCTGAGTCTGCAGGATTCAAGCTGGAAACTCAGCTGCTGTAGGATCAGTGAAGCCTTTGCTTGGCTCAGAGAGCTTCAGAGAATGAGGCACTGTGTGGCTACGAACTTGGTTGCTCTGGAACACTGGAGCTTTCTTGAAAAACCACAGAGCTGTTTGTCTGGCTTCCCTCAGACAACAGGGAGCACTAGTCACAAGGAGTTGGGTGCCCAGAACAGGACACCAAGCGTCTGGGAAGGGCGTGTGGAGGTTTAGCATGAGTTGAGGTTCTTGGCCATGCTGCCAAAGGCTTTGCTGTGGGTGTGGTGGACCATCAGAAGGAGAGTCCCTGTTGGAGGGATTGGTTACTGCTGGAGAGAGCCTGTTGTGTGAGATGGCTCCGAAATGAGAACGCTGATCCTCTATGGGCTGTGCTTGGATCAGCCTGCTTTCTGTGCTCAGCTGTGTGTGAACCAGGCTGGAGGTGGGGAGACGGCAGCTCTCCTGCCACCCCTCCCCTTCCCTCTTGTTAAGATGCAATATCTTTAATGAGGAAAACCTCTTGAGTAGGAACATCACCTTTCTTGAAGGCTTGTCCTGACAAGGCAGTTCAAGCCGACAGAGTCGCATATCAACTTCAGCAAATATCAGTCACTCATTACAGAGAACTCTTCTTCCCCCCACCCCCCAGTAACACCCCTCGTTCCCAGACAAGGGAATGAATCACACTCCTGCTCTTGAATACATCATGACAAGTCGTGGTTCTAATGAGAGAGGGCCATTCATTCTGGGTGGAAAGTTCCCTGTGTCGACTCAGAAATGTTATTAATTAAAGAGAGCTACCTGAAGCAAAAGATGAAAGGAGCACCAGACCTGCCAAGCTAAAATACGAGTGGGGATACAGCCTCGTTAGGCACATGGTCCTCGGGCCTCTGCGTGCTCAGCGGGAGGATTCCTTTAGCCTGTTGCAAGGAGCTATCCTCCAAGTTTAACAGCTCCAGGGATGGATTCAGATACCTGGTGTAGTCTGCTTTAGTGCTTGGGCCTCATCCTACACCTAGGTTGGAACTGCCACTAGTCATTAAGCAAACGGTGTTGATGTGGCATTGGGGGGTGAGGGTGATGGGCCTCTGAAGGGCCGAGGGAGCCGCTGACTGCAGGAGATGGTCTCATTGGAAAAGAGGGTTCTTTAGTGTCTGCCAGGGTTGAGCCCTTGTAATGTAAGCTGTTAACTGTGGTCTGTCACCCCTGAAATGTTGAGTTGCCTCTCTCTGTGTATGGAACCAGTTTGCGGGCTCTTAAACACAATGTGAATTAATCTCGGCAACCCAAGAGGCATTTTTACTGTGTGTTCATAGATGCAGAGCTGAGATACGCTGAGGTTAAGTGATATGCCTGTGGCTGTGCACGCAGGCAGAGGCAGAGCTGAAGCCTCATGTGCCAAAACTCAGACCTGCACCGTAATGTCAAGAGCATCAGTTAATCCTTCTCCCCAGTTTCGGATCATTCTGCAAATGCACTGAGTATAGCTGAAAGTACATGTAGGCTTTGGTCTATATAACTCTGACATAAAGATCCTTATACTGCACTTAGTGTGGCTGGTCAGAACATGCTAATTTATGTCTTCACAGGAAGCTACTGCTCAGAAGTTTTTTATTTTCTTAAATAAGTGTTAAAAGGCAAGTACTCTCTAATATAGTGATAAAACACAGTGAAGTGTCTTGAAATGTTTATAGCCCTTGGTGCTCTTCCTAGGTTGGATATTAGTAAATTCTAAGCAGTAAATTATACCATTGCTTAATTTTACTGTTTAATTCTTTCTCTGCAAGTTACACAGGCTGGGAGGATGCTTGCCTTCTCAGACCTGCTCTGAGTGTGGCAATGGGCTGCTCTTTCCTGCCTTCTGTCCTGGAAATTTGGTTTGAGATCAGCCTTAGGACATGAATGAAGAAGGATTGATGGTGTCAGTGTCCCTTGTGCATGCTGTTCTTTATCACGGGACCGGGAGGGGGTTGGTAGCCTCTGCTGGGGGAGAAATTGCTGATGGCCACTGACTGGAGTGAGTGGGACCACTTGGGTAGCTGTGAGGAAAGGCAGGAGAAGGTGTAGGGTGGGCTGGTTG